ACAACCTAGATGGTAAGAGATGGAAGGAAATGAGGGGAGCACTATCTGTTCTGTTTCCTGATAGAGTAGTTCTGAGGGACTGTAATGATATTAAACCAATGCTTCCAATGCACTCAGCAAAAGGACATCATTAAATAGTGGCTAGAAGAACTGGCTGCATCCTCTTTTAGGTTTTCATTGTCCTGACTATAGCAAGTAAGTGGGATTTGAAAAAGTTCTGAAGTCTGTCAGCTAGAGCCCTCCTGGGGATTTTTGGTGGTCATGGAAGCATTATGTGGCAGATAGATGAGAATCCAGTTCCATCCTGCATTGCATGATAGGGCTTTATTGTGGGAAACTGGGAAGGGCAAGCTCCTAGACCAGCAGATATTTGACACAGAAATTGACACTTTGAAATTGAAAAGTGTTTATTGCATTTGTGTGTTTGCTATCAACGTGCACTCACTCATGGTCTGCCTTCCTCTTGCAGTTCCCACGTTTGTATCTTTCCTGAAGGAAGTGGAGTCTCCCTATGAGGTCCATGACTACATCCGAGCCTACCTTGGAGATACTCCTGAGGCCAAGGAGTTTGCCAAGCAGTTCCTCGAGCGCCGTGCCAAACAGAAAGCCAGTCAGCAGAGGCAACAGCAGCAACAGCAGGTACAGGAGCCTCTGCTCTCCCTGGGGCCGTGTCAGGCTGCAGGCAGCACCTGGGTTCATCAGTGTCCTGGCAATAAAGCAGCTTGCCAGTTGTTACCACTTGACAGTTGAGGCCAGCTGTAGATCGGAGTGTTTTTGCGTGGTGATCTGGGAAATGCTGTGGGAAGATGAGGTGGATACATCATAGCTAGTGTTGCCACATGGATATAGGAAGTGCTTTGGGCTCTCTGAATATTTTCTGTATAAATAAAGCAGACTTCACTATGCTCTGTAATCTTGTCCTTAATTTTTTCTCTAGGATTCAGTGTGGGGGATGAACCACAGTTCGCTACATTCAGTCTTTCAGACCAATCAGAGCAACAACCAGCAGTCCAACTTTGAGGCTGTGCAGAGCGGGAAGAAAAAGAAGAAACAGAAAATGGTTCGAGCAGATCCCAGCTTGTTAGGTCTGTCTCAGTTTTTAAAAATTAATGTTTAATTTGGTAGTGGTGGTTTGCTTTGGGGAATGTAGAAGATTCTTACTGAGCTTAAATACTGAATTTGAGTAGAAAAGTTGGAATGTCTTTAGAATCTTTTCAATACTATTATTTATTTGATGATTTGAAAAATTCCGTATCAGTCTCATGGAAAATTTTTGTTGAACTTTTCCTCGTGTAATGGCGTCTTTGATACTCTTTGGGTTATTACCTGGAAACCTCTAAATTCCCTTTTCTCCTTTGAGTTGACCTATGGGTATTTTATTGCATTAATGCTGATTTGTTCTTTGAAGAAAAGCATGTTTTCCTTCCTTTATGAGACGCAGCTTTCTGAGGCTGCCTTTGCCTTGCCACCTTTTTCCAGAAGATAACCTCTACCCTAGTCAGAAAAGACAGCAAAGGTTGAAGTGGTGACAGATTTTCAGCTGGAGACCATGGAGATGATGACCTCATTAGCAGTCCTTTATTTATTTATTTATGTTCTGTGTCTTAATTTTTATGTGAGGCTAATTTTAATCAGCCCCTGTAGCACTTGATGGAAAAGTTTCTTTGAAGTAGTTTTTAAGGTGCAAGGCCCTTGTGTGAGTGCATGGACACTGTGGGGTGACAGTTGTTGTGCTCATGTCAGTGTTTATGCCCTGTATGACAGAGGGGGAACCAGGGCACTGCACTGGGCCAGGCTTTGTTGTGCTGCTTCTGCTGAGCCCAGTTGCTGTAGAGCAGACAGGTGTTGTCCACCTGAAGTCACTGCTTTTTTAAGGCTGTAGCAGAGCCCTGCCTTTGATTTTTGTCTTTCTTTTTTTTTGGTCTCACCCAAGTCAGTACTTCAGCTAAATCAGTGATTTCTGCACTGGTGTGTATGGAACTTCTCAGTGGAATCTTGACTTATGCCACCTCAAGGTGCCTATCCACTGACTCTGATCTGGGTACTCAATTGAATGTGAAGAAGAAATCATTAAATACAATTTAGAAGTTCCAACTGGAAGGGAAGTAGCCTGTGCAGCTTTTTAAAAACGCTTACACTCACTCTTTTGCAAAATAATTTCAGATGCTTTTAGGCCACACTGCCACGTGAGGGAGCCAGAACAATTTTCCTAAACCTCCTGAATAGAGCATTTCTTGCCTCTCAAAGTGGAAGGCAGTTGGTTGTCTAGCACAGAGCAAACCCATGTAACACTCTCAAACACTGAAGTTCAACTTGGTGTTTAGTAGCCTTACACAGGGGAATTTCCCTGTTCTCATACTCCAGATGGGGCTTGTACACCCTTAAAAAAGGGATTTCAGTAGGAAAGCTACATTTGATTTATTTGATTTGTTTCCTTGCTGAAGGTGTTTTCACTCTTCCTCGCACTTTTCTCATGTGCAACATGTCCTCAACGTGTATGGCTCAAGGCTTGGGTAGAAGTTGGGGGGCATCTTGAGCCACCTGCATGGCCCTGGATAACTTTGTACATTTTCATTTTGTACTCCTGAGATGGAAGTTTGTAAAAAAGCATGGATATAGATGTAATTGCTACTAGATGTCATAGGTACATGCATTGAGACTTTAAAGGGTGAAATTGCTCACAACTCCTGAAGTGTGGGAGCATAATTCCATGTGTGATTCCAAGTTCTCAGAATGCCCATTTCTGCCTCTCAGACCATGTAAGTATGGTGTTGACAGCCACTTCAAGGGCCAGTTGATTTAAACACATTCCCTTTTGAGGTGTTGCAGAGCCATGTTGCCACCACGTGTAGATGTGCCTTCTACTAGCTCTTCAGGTGACATCTTTTAAATGGAACTTGAAAAGTCTTCTGATCTGATTTTAAAGACCAAGTGATGCTTGTCTAAATATATAGTTGATTATCTTTAGTTTATTAAGGAAAAAATCAGTCATTTTGGGTAACTGCATCTATAGCCTTACTGGATTACCCTTACATTCACTTTCTCTTACACATGGGACTGCCTTCAACAGATGTTTTGTATCAAGTACACTATGCCACAGCCAGATTTATAACACCAATTCTTCTTGGTTCACAGGGTTTTCAGTGAATGCTTCATCAGAGCGGCTCAATATGGGAGAAATAGAGACTTTGGAAGACTACTGAGCATGTGCAAATCAACTGGCTTTTCCTGCATCTGTTAACCATGGATTCTCCGTTTGGACACCGTACTCTCCACCTTGTGTTGTTCTTTGCCTCGCAGTGAATCACAGGATCAATCATCTCAGGCTGCTTCCTCTGGCCCCAGCAAACCCTTTCTGCCCAGGACTGCACAGGCGTTGTTCTACTGTCAGCCCACTCGAGTGGACTTTGCTCAGAGTCCCGGGAGGGTGGGAGTCAGGCTTTGTTCACAACAAGGCTGAATTGGGCAGCAAGCTTTCACTGTGCTGTGATTCATTCTGCTGACATACCTGGAAAAAAAAATCAATTGGGATTCTGCAAAGCATTGCTTCCTTCTCCTGGTTACTCTTACCACATCCAACACGTGCAGTCATATGGAGAGAGAGAGAGAGAGAGATTGAGAGAGAGTTTGTGGTTAACAGATGTTGGTCAAAACCAAAATGCCACACAGATACTGACTTGGCTGCTCCATCAGGGCAAGAGGTGCTCTCCTGGCCAGGAGTTGCATTCATAAGCTACCCCTAGAAACTGGCAACAGGAGAGGGGCGGTAGTGGGCACAGTTTAGCTTGGGTTGGTTTGAAGTTGCACACCCCCTGCCAGCCCTTCTCAGCACATAATTTTTGGAGGGAAAGCTCGAGTCTGTCTTCATTAGGTGGTGATGCTGAAGCTGGTGGAGTTCCCGTCGGCATTCTCCAGCCTTCCTGGACAAGTGGGGACTTCTGCTCTGGAAAAGGGGGGTGGCATCTCTTCTTTCAGGCTGAATTTACCCCATAAGTGCTACCTTCAGAGGGTTAGGACCAGTTTATTTTGAGCTCTTTTCCTGCAAATTTGTCTCGTTTAAGAGACAGTGGGATCTTTACAGTGTGGATCTGTAGTCTCTGGAGAGGGTGGACCCTGGCTTTCAGAGACGTGCCAGCAGCCTCAGCTGGCTGTCACTTGAAGCAGTGCTTAGGTATCAAGCAGAGATGCCCTTTCGTCACCGAGAGAGACACTGGAGGACGAAGCTTTGTGCAATGATGGCCCTGCTTATCTTCTACACCTTAAAAGTACTTCATGCACCTTCACTGGGATCCATAACCTCTAAGTGTTTATGGAGTCATAACCTTCCTCTCTCACCGAAAGATTAACACCACCTTCCCTGCTCCACGAACCCACCCACCCACCCCACACACACCACAAAGGACAGAGAAGGAAAACTGCCAAATGCACTTAGTTTGACCCCCCTGGTCCCATCTCCCGTCCCCAGAGGGGTGTAACCTGCGAAGGGAGATATGCTGCAGTTTTGGTGGAGTTGTATAAAGGTGTCTGTTATTCTGTCATCACTGCCTAAAGAAAACAGTTTGAGTTGCTCAAGAGCAGTTTGGCTTTGGATTTTATTTTGTTTGGTTTATTCATTTTTTGGGGTCACCTTCCCCTCCTCCTCCTCTCTCTTCCCCCGTCCCCAGACATGTACAGTAACTATACAGAGACTGCTGCAGACTTGTATATAGTTTTTGGATCTGATAGCATGGAGAGACTTGGAACTGTTGCAAATCTGGTCTCCCTGTCTCCTTTGCTTTGTAAATTCATAAAAGGGGGAAGAGGGGTAGTTAAAATGTTTACAAAACTTTAAACTCCCTCTGAACTTTTGCCAGTGTGGGGGGGAAAAAAAAAGAGAGAACTTAAATAAAACCTGGTTGTATTATATCTGAGAGAAAACTTTCTGCTTGCTTTTGTCAAAGCTAAGTATTGAGATAATTCCTGGTGCTAAAACCCACCCTAACTCGACTTGCATCAGTTTTCATCAAGAAACAACAAGCAAATACACAGGATGTGGAACAACAGCTGCTGCTTTATTTCTTCTCTGGTGAGGAATACTGGTTGGTTTTTCTACTTGATAATTTTAGAGTTCAAATAAACACCAGTAAGTTGATATTGGAAATTTCTAACAAGAAAGCTTTAATTTTCCTCCGCTGTCTGTAGAGAAACGTGTGCATTCATGCTGGTGCTGTTTATGCAGGGGAGATCAAGCCATGGCTGGTTTGCTCTTAACACAAACACTTGGCCACGGAGCCTCCGTTGCCAGTCGGTGCCCACCCCGTGCACTCCAGTGCACTGCCCTAAATAAGGTGTTTTATTTCTCCTCTCAGCCTAAAGTCCACATGGAAACCGTGGAAGTTTCTCTTTTTAGACTTAGTTTCCTTTTTTGATACTTGTTTTTGTGTGGAAAATCCCAGTAAAGGTAATGGTAAATGTCCTGCCATTCACCTGACCATGGAAAACAAGTATGCTGAGGCCTAACTTACACAGTAGGCTTGCATGATGTTCAGCTGATGTCTGAGAGAACAGTTGATGTTTAGGCTGATAACCTGACTTTGTTTTAATATCTTCTCTTTTTAGCATATAAGGTGTGTGGTTCATAATTGCTTTCTGGTTTTTTAGTGGTGTGATCTAATTTCTGCAAGCTAATTTTGGACTGCTCTACACCCTGTTACAAGTACACTAAAGTGTGTTAGCTTTGAGCTCGGCAGGAAAGGAACAGCTTCTCGATTGCTAAATGAAAATGCAGAAATGCAAGCAGGGAAAATGTGCAATCATTTGTCAAACTTTGAGGACCTCACTTGGCTCCTGGGATTTTGTAGATAATGGACCAGTGGGAAAGATAACACTGTTCATAATACTGAAATACTCTGGTTTCTGTGTTTCTATGAAGGTAAGGTGGTGGCATGTGCACATTGTGCTCTCAGGTGACTGCATTGCCACCTTCTGTGACAAATAGGGCCCTTTTCTGTAGCAAGAATCATTTGGATCAGTAGGGATGGGGAAAACAGGGGCTCCAAAAAGCAAAGCAATTGCTGCAAAAAAAATCTGACTCTGAAATTTAAGACTTCAATACTTGTCATATTTTCAGAGCATAAAGAACTGACATTGGAGGTGTTTATGTATTCATTTCATGATGGGAAACCATGAAGTATTCATCATCATATCAGCTCCAAAATACTAATGAAACAACTTCTGTGACAATCAGCTGGAGTGTTCCCCTTTTTATACACCTCATCCATTCACAATTCTTTGTTGCTGCAAATGTGATTTGAAGCAAACCTGGGTTTTCTGTGCTGTGAACTGTCCTGAGCCCCTGAGGCAGGCAGGGACAGAGTGGCAGAGGCTGGCAGGAGGAGGTGGTGCCTGAGGAGCTGGATCTGAGGAGGATGCTGGCGTTGCCTGCCAAGGGCGACTCTCCTGGAACGCTCGGAGCCTTTGACAGCAGTTCTGAGACCACCCATGGCTCCCAGGCCAGCTCTGTAAGTATTCCACCCAGGAACAAGGATGCCATGGAGCTGCTCTGGCTCTGTGTCAGAGCATTTTAGCCTCAGAAGATTGAGGCCCTTGTTGTTTGCTCTCCCCACCCTGCAATGCCCTCCACCCTGCACAGTGAGGGAGAGCACAGCCCTCAAATGGGCTGCTGGCTTTTGGGCTGAGCTGCCCCAATGGCTCCTGTGTTATTTCCTGTGCCTCGGGATGGCCAGCCCCAGGCAAGGCATTCCAGGAGCATCCTCCTGGCCTCTGGGAAGGGCTCAGCAACAACTGCTCGTGTGTGCACTGACCTGGCAGGGTCCTGATGGCTCTGCTTGGCTGCCTATGGGGTTTTAGGCACAAGTTTGGGAGGGTGGAGCTGCCTTTGGGAGGAGGTGTGCTCCTGCAGCCAGAGAGAGCGAGGCTCTGCTGGGCTTTGCACTCTCTGCACAGCTGCTCTTGTGAAGGACTTTTTTTCTGTTTTTGTTTTTTTACCTGACTGAACAGAATTTTTATTATACCAGTGTAATTTCTGAGTTGTTTGTGCTTTGAAGAGTTTTAAGGATTCCTGCTGATGCTTTTCCTGAGGGAAGCCATGCCCTACCACAGAGTCCTTCGCCTGGTCCTGCTAACGCTGTGCAGCATCCTGGTCCCTGCTGTGCTGGCAGGTAAGGAACTTTGTTTGCATTTAAAACCCAAAAGTTTGGGAGATCCTTTCCTACACTGCCCTCTCTCTTCTCCCTTCTCTGAAAACATCCCTAAATATGTGTTGAATTATAATTGATTAAGGGAAACTAGCTTTGGTGGCTGCTGGTGAGCAAGAATATATTTTCAGTGGAGAAAATCCTTTAACTTTTCCTAAGCAGAATGGCAGTAGCACCTATTGTGAGCATTGGTGGGACAGGCTGTCTCTCAGCTTTTAATAGCAGGAAGAAGTTACAGGTATGGAAAGAAACATTTTTCTTTGGCTAAAGCCTCTGTGCCGATTCCTGGTTCCTTCTGTGTTCTCTGCTGCAGCAGAGCTCAGCAGCTGCTTTAGGCAGAACCAGGGAAGTGTCCATAAAAACCCCAGTCCAAAGCCAAGGTGTGCATCCTTATGGGGTTGCTCTGGAGCTGGGGTAGCAGGGCAGTGCTGGAAAAGTGCCTGGCTCTGACTTGCTTGCAGTGAGAAAGAAAAATGGGAGAGATGCCTGCTGTGTAAGGCACTGTTTCTCTGGGGATTGTTATTAATTTCAGCTTTACCTGCTCCTGCCTTCAGCAGAGCTGTGTTGGCTGCAGGGAGCTGGGGGCACAGCTTCAAAGGCTGCAGGTCTGAGGTGGCTTTTACAGCTGGGAAAAAACTGACTTCCAAACCCCCTGCACTGATGGGCTCTGAGTGTACAGGTGGAAACTCTTATGGGGAATTGCTTCCCCCAAAGGCTTTCCTCCAAGGCAGTGGAGACAAGGCTGAAGAGATGGCTGGGGCAAAGATAACAGGCACAGCATTTGTTTTCCTGAATTTCTGTCCTGCCTTCCAAGACCTGGAGCAATGTTGTTTTGCAGTTCTCTCACAGTTTCTTCTGAGCATCTTGCCTCGCTGGGAGATCTGGCCAGCTGTCTAGCAGATCAAATTATGGAATTCTTTTTAAAGGAGCTTTCATATGGGTAGGGAAATTCACCACTGTGCTTGGCTGGAACATCTGTGGGTGGAGGAGCACAATTAGTGCAGCTGGTATCTTCTCCTTCTAGGACACCTTCTTTGAAGGGAAACCTTCAAAGTAACTAAGAAATGAGCACTAAAAAGTGGATACTTTCCTTCTCAAACCATGAACTTTTTTTTTGTGCAATGGAACATTAATCATTTTAGCACAGTTTCAGTTTGTGCCTTGCTGTTGCTCTCAGAAGCACTGACCATGCTCTTCCCCCATACCAGGTAAGATTTTATCTTAATCATTAGCAGTATTTCACTCTGCAGAAAGTGATTGATTTCCAGTGAGAATTCAATCTGCTTCCTCTCCAAGCTGGAATCTCTTCTATGCTGTTTTCAATTTCCAATATTTGGTCCCTTTGCTCTGGCCCCCCTCCTTGCCAGCTTTTCCATGTGCTTGCTCTGGCTTTGCAGCTGTGGTTTGTGCCTGGTGCTGCCTCCCTGTGTCACTTTGTTCCTGTGATGCACTCCCAAATTTACTTGATCCTTATACTGGGTGAGTTGTGCTCATGCAACGAGGCTTGAAGGGCTTTGTACTGGGGAGTGCAACATTCAGATCTTAGGGTGTAGGAGAGATTCTGTGCTTTTTCTGCAGTGCTTTAGAGATGTAAAGCCTCTAACAGGTTGTTCCCTGCTCCCTCAGAGAGGACAGGAGGAAGCCAGCCTAGGAGCAGAATGATTCTCTGCTGCATGGAGAGTGCCTGCCCCCAGTACAGGTGGTTTGAGGAGCAGTGGAGCTTTTTCTGCTTTTACTCCATTAGAAAAGGAAATTTCCGGCCTGGTGCAGACAAAGAGGGGAAGGGCACACAGACAGCCCTCTGGCCTCAGCACCTACACACACAGCCCTGCCTTTCTGTAAACAAGTTTACTCAGCATCCATCAGAACCGCAGCTCTGCCTTGCTGCACACAGGAGCTCCTGGCCTTGCCCTCCACAGGCTGCCCTTTGTGCTGCTGCTGAAGGGCTCCTTTCAGCCCAGCCCTGGCCCTGTGCCTGCCGTGGCCACCTGGGGCTGGACAGCCCCTTGCTGGCCTCAGGGTTCACCAGCCCCTGCCCTTTCATCTCAGCACTCTGACTGTCCCCAGCAGAGCCCTGCAGAGTGAGCAGGAGCAGCTCTGCCTTGGAGAGGGCTGACCATGGGTCATGCAGCCCCCAGGCCTAGGATGAGTCTCCTCTCCCTGTTGGCTGCTTCTCACTGGTCTGATTTCCTGGACAGCATGATCAGGGCTCTGCAACTGGTGAAAGTGTGAATTTCTCCAAGTCACTGAGCTCTTTCCAACATAACCTTTTGTCAAAGATGGGGAGGCAACCAAGCACATCTTCAATCCCCTTACACATCATCTGGGTGCAGCAGGAAACAGCCAGCTCAAGGATCTCTGACAAACCTCAGCCTTCTCCACTTCCTCTTTCTCCAAACCAAGGGGCAGGTAGGCCTTGAGCACAGGAAGAACTGGTTGTTTTTTTCCTATCAGCAAACCCAGTTTCAATTCCTGTAATGGATTCAGAGCCCCAAATGAGCTGCAAGTTAGTGCAAAGCCTTTGCAAGGCATTGGCTCCTGAACCATGTGTAAATTTGATATTTAAACTCACATGTGGGCTCCTCAGCTTGTTTTGAGCTAATGTGAAAATATGTTGGACTGCAGTAGCACATCAGAATGAGTCTGGGGGGAAAAAAGCAACAGAGCACACACACCAAAGGAAAAGACACAGGAAAACACCTTGACCAAGAACATCTTTCTGTAGCAGCCTGTGTGTCTTTTTTTTCAACTAACAGGAGAAACAAAGATTAGGAAACTTTTTAAAGCTTAAGTTCTAGAACATGGATAGCAGTAAATAGGTTTTGATTGATGTAGTTGTTCCAGCAGATCTGTCCACACTTGAAGCAGGACTTTGTAAGCCATTACTCAACCTTGCTTTGCTCCAGCACTCCTTAAAGATTCCTGATGCTGGTATTGACTCCTGAATAAGGAGCTAGGTTGGAGGTGGACAGTGAGGATGATGAAATGCTGAAGTCAGCTTGTGTGAAGAAGACTATTGGCCAGTGGCTAGTAACCTTCAGTGACAATGATGTGATCTGGCCACGTTTGTCTGCCTTAAAGTCTCACAGTTGGTCTGTGGGGAGGGTCTGGTTCCTTCAGATTTGGTTGGCATCCCCTGGGGCTGTCACTTACAGACACTCTTCCAGTCCTACCTTTCAGTCACTGAGTACCTGGGGCACTGGCCACCTCCTGACTGTGCTGGCAGCTCACCCCACCTTCTTTCTAGGCATGGAAATAGCACTTTTGTCAAGTTGCATTTGCCATCATCCCCTCTGGATCTCTCTATGGCCCACGTGTCTGGAGTTCCACTGGCCCCTGCATCACTTGGAAAACTCATCGTGTATTTCTTCATGGTAACTGATCTTTTCTTCCCATTTCCTCACCTCAGTTATAACTTACCTGTGCTGGAGACAGGAAGAAGACAGTGCAGCAGAGAGATTTCCCTAAAATTAGACAGTTTGTAGTCTTAACATGTGGGAAGGAAGAGCTACCATCATCCACCTGGCCTTCTAAAAACACTCTAATGATTTTAGTCCATTTTGTCCAGTTCCATCTCCAGTAAAATGCCAATAAGATTATTGCATGTTTTTCTTCTAAGTGTTCTCCAACTGTATTTCTCATGACAAGGCTTTTACTGTTAGTCTGAAAGCAGCAGTTGCCCTCAGCTTGTGTTTCAGTGCTGAGACAGAGCTAATGCAGGGGAAGAGCTCATTTGTGCCAGGGCCTGGAGCTTTCCTCCCTCTGGGGCAGCTGGCACTGAGGCCCAGAGCCTGGCAGTGTGGGTGACTCGTGTGCCTCAGCAGCCTGGCAGCCCCTCCATGTGCCCCTGGCTGCCCCTCCAGGACAAGTAAACCATGTGAGTGTGCCACAGGAGTGTTCTAGAGGTAGGACTGGTCCTGGGCTGATGGCAGCACAGCTAATGCTTTCTCCCAGATATTAAACATCTGGTCTTGTGATGGATGATGTATTTTGAGTGTGTTTTCTTGCTTCTTTATTTCTCCAAAGTTCTCGGGTGAACAGGAGTACAAGCCATGCAGTACTTTACTTTGGTATTTAGTTTCCAGCTCTTGGTTGCACTCCCTCCCTGGAGATGGCAGCATGTTTGGGTGTTTTTACATGCTAATTTAAGATTGCTGTTTTTTGCCCCACGGCCATGGAGCTTCCCTTCAACTTGCCCTTTCCTTGGGAGGGGCTGCTGCCGGTTCCAGAGCTGTCACTGAGGCATTTGTTGAGGTTCACAGGCCACATCCCCCTCATCACAGCTAGAATGACAGTGACAATGTGGGCAGGAAGGCCTGGCCATGCTGGTGCTGTTTCCTCTGCAGGTCATGTTTAGATCCTGGTGTCCTGCTCATGCACAGAATAACTGAGCCTGGGAAGAGCAAGACTTGTGGTGGTCACCCAAAACATCAGGTGCAGAGCAGAGAACTGAACTTCCTGAGCTGGGTCCCCTGCCTGTAGATAGAATCTCTCCAGATTCTATCCAGCAGATGACTGGAAAAGGCCCTTGTGTCTCACCTGGAGACATAAGACTTTACTAATAGTGTGCATGTGTTGGGGTTTGGTACCTGACACAAACTCTCCTTCTTATCACTTTTCTTGCTTTTACCAGGGGTCTGAAATGGGATTGTGGCATTTGATGTGGGTCCATTAGAGATCTGCCACTCCCAGCACCAGCTGTGTATCTGACAGTCACTGGGACTGTCAGGGAAGCAGGTGTGAAACCTCTGCTTGTTAAAGAAATCTGCTGCATGCATGAGAATAGTTGGATGGATGCTTGGGCTTCTCAGCTGCAGGAGTGGAGGCATGTGAAGACATGAGGTTTTAGGTTAGGAGGGAAAATCCAAGGAGAGACGTGGGGAGAACAGTGCTGGTTATGAGCAGATGTTCTCCCAGGCTGCAGCAATGGGCTCTGGAGGAACCTGCCTCTTGCTTTGTGTTCCCCCTCTGTGTGCCCACAGCAGGGCCCTTGGCACCTGCTCCAGCAGCACTGAGGGGCAGGAGCTGAGAAGGGGACCAGCAGTGAGCCCTGGCTCCTGGGGAGGTTCAGCTGCAGGTATTTCACTCAGTGTGTGTGCAGCAATCTGCTGCTGCCTCTGAGCTCACAACTGTTCCCGAGGCAGCCGACCTGACTGAAAGGGGTTGTGTTTCCCTGGGCTGAAGTGCCAGTAGGGTAAAACCACAAGAACTTGGGACAGCAAATGCATGTTAAGCACATTCTGCCTTTTCTGTGTGGGCAAACTGAAAAGTGTGTGTCAGTTGGATGGGGGGAATTAACAAAATACATATCCAGCAGCCATCCAAGTTTTTATAAATCACAGCGATCATAAATGAATTAGACTGTTTCCTCTGTATTTGGCTATCAAAAAATGAGCTCTGTGCCCTGAAAAATATCTGGCAGCTCTCTTTAAGCAGGAGTTAGCTGCATGGAGAACAGGAGAGACTATCCGGCACCTCTGGGTCTGGTGGCACCTGTGGGACCTTTGCACTATGGTTAGAAGAGATAGTGCTCCCTCCTCTTCCCTTTGAGAGCAGGGATTTGGAATACCCAGCCCAGGTCACACAGTCTCCCAGGATGGTGCCTGCATCTGTTACAGATCATCTGAGCTAGCACCAGTCCCTGGTCACACACAAGGCAAGTGTGCAGCTGTGGGGAAAAAAAACGTTCTTGGGAAAGGAAGCAACACTGTCCTCCAGCTTTGTGTTCCTCTGCCAGGTGGGGACAGTGGCAGTGTTGGTTCTGGTCTGGGGGATGTTGACAGTCAGAAAGGTCATGGCTGGAGTGTGGCTCTTCTGTGTGGAGTTTCTCCCTTACAAAAGCAGCCTGGAACCAGGGCTTTCAAAGTATCCCATATGTTTGGTCTGTTCTTAAACCAACAGCTTCCCATGCCACTGTTGGCAGCTAAATAGCCCAGCTCTGCTCAGTTCTCTCCTGTGTTAACTAGCTTTTCTCACTGAATTCTGTATTTCTCTTGTTCCATTCTCTGGCTGTGACACCATGGGATTTAAAGTAGAGAGGTCCACTGGAAATGGCACTTTGTGGAAGAGCCATGGGATGGAATTTGAGTCTTCAGCTCTGCTGGTTGGTTTTGCAGCACAGGTTGGGAAGGGCCCTGCAGGGGCTTGGTTGTTTGTGGGGAGCTCTTGTGGAACACAAACCTGTGTGCATGTACAGGGGAGCTGATGCCACCTCTGGTGCAGAGCCCAAGTGTGTGAGGGCTTGGTGTTCTCTGCTACACCCAGCTTTGCCTGGGTTCCTGCCTGGGTCTCACTGGCACAGGCTGCACATTGGAACTTGTCTCTGTTGATGCTCATTGGGCCAGGGTTAAACCTGGCAATTGTTTTGCTGGATACCCTGTAGCTTTTCTGCCTGTAGAAAGAGCTTTCAAAACTTTCTAGAACGTTGCTGTGTGGAATAGCTCTGGTGATGGTGGGAGCTACTCTGATGCAAACCCTGCAGTAAGTTCTCAGTGGGTTTGTACCCTCAGGAAAGGTGAGTGTTTTGTCCCTCCCTGTTCCAGGGAGGGATCTAAAGGGAGAACAAAGTGTGGTGCAGCCCATTAATGAGGATTCTTTGCTCTCCCCCCCACAGCACCTTCTGTCCACAGGAGGCAAGGAGGGCTCCAGGCACTTAAAGCTGGGGCTGGTAGTGCCAAGATGTGCTGCTGCCATCTCTCTCCACAGAGAGCCTGGGACAAGTCTTCAAGTACCCCTGGTACACCAAGGTTCATATGCCAGGGTTGGGATGCCCTGGGATACCTCAGTGCCTTGCCCCAGGGAGCCTGGGCTGTTTGTTCCAGCTCTTGACTCCCTGTTCCCCAGTCCTGATAACCATTGTCTCAGTTCAGGAGGGCCCTGGCAGTGAATGTTGTTCGTTTTTCTCCCCCCTGCTTTTTTCCCCATCCCCGTGCAACATTCCCAGCGGTTTCTGCAGGGAGCTGTGGAATGTCTCCTGCTCCTGCCAGATCCCACCTGAACAAGGCTGGGCATTGACAGGGAGTGCTTGCTGAGCCACACACAGGGAGGGCTCTCTGGCTTGGTCTCTGACCCACGGCAGGAAGGAATAACAGGAGACGAGTGGTAACATTAAACAGGAGCCAGCCTGCCTTTCATCTCCCCGGTGTGGCGGGGGTGCAGCAGGGGGAAGTCGAGGCTCTGGGGTCCTGTCTGGGGGAGCCATGTCCTGTGCTGTGCCAGCACCTCCAGCATCCTGCACTGCTTGGGCTGGTGGTGCAGGACAAAAGAAAAAGGGCCCTGAGATGCTGTGAATTTGGCCAGCACAGGTGGCCCGGTGGCCTCTGCCTGTTGGCAGGGTGACAGCCCTTCCCAGCCCAGTCCCAAGGGCATCCATGAGTAAAGCAGCGGTGGATGTTCATGTGGGGCCTGTTTGTGCACGAGCAGAGGTTGCAGGGTGTCAGGGCCCTCTGTCTTGTCCCGTGTGTGCTGTGAGCACACTAGGTTGCCGCAGAAGCACATTGCCTTTGGCTGCTCTGGGTATGGCTGTTCAGCAGAGGTGGTGTGCCCTCGGAGGAGGGCTCTGCCGTCCCGGGTTTCTCAGCCCTCAGGGCACCTGGCAGGCAGCTGAAGCCCAGGGACCCGCAGAGCTGTGGTTGTCACAAGTAGCCTGACCGGGCCCCCATGCCCGTGGGTGCTTGTCTTCCAGCAGAGTACCCGCAGGACGCGGTCCCCACCCTCTGGAACGAGCCGCCCGAGCTGCCCTCTGGAGCCGGTCCCTTCGACGCTGCCACTGCCACCGCCCGGCTGTCGGATGCCACTGCCTTCCCCCCGTACACCTCCGAGCTGGAGCCCGAGGACAGCACCCACCTGCACCGGCTGGACACCGGGGACGGTGAGTGACTGCGACAGGCACCGCCCGCGGCTCACTCCCGCAGCAGCCTGGGATGTCCTCACGGATTTGCTCCCTGTGGGACTGTCACCTCCCGGGAGGGGTTAAAGCCACACTGCTGGGGAGGGGGTTGCCCTTATTGCCTGCTCATGGAAACTTCCCTGCTGAAAAACTTTTGCTGTGGAACTCTTGCCAGCCCCAAGATGGCTCCAAGATGGCTTCTTCCTGCCCCATCACCTGTCATGGCAGGCACCTGCCCTGAAAAGAAAACTGCCCTGACTGTAGGTAGGGCTGTGCAGGACAGAGTGTGCTGGGAGCTCCCTGGACAGGGAGCATGAGTGCCTTTCCTGGCTTGTGGCTCCTGACTGACAGCAAGCACCAGCTGAGATCTGGTCCTGCTGCAAGCGGAGCAACTCTCCCAGTGTGTGAGCAGGAAATCTGGGCACCACTGACCCACTTTGTGGCAACTGTCTTTGTCACTGGGAGCTGGCTGAGGTGGTGGTGGCTGGCTACAGCCCCCTGCCCAAAGGTGCACAGGATGACACCTGGGACATGGCCAGTGTAGGGAGCTCTGGGACAGGAATGTGGCCTGATGCCTGGGGACACGCTGGGTGTGGGATGGTCCTTGCCACCCTTCCCATCTGGGCCCCACTGTCTCTGCTGACCTCGTGCCCTTTTCTCTCTTCCTGCAGGCTCACTGGGGCCCGGGGCTATTGGTGCCATTGTCATCGCCTCCCTCCTGGGTACATCTGTGCTTGTGGCCTTGGTCGTCATCACACTGAGAAAGTTCTCGGCCTCCTGAACTCAATAAAACATTTTTATGTTACACAACCGGCCTGTCTGCAGCCCTTGGCTGCTCCTGAACTGTCTGCCTGGGGCCCTGGGAGAAATGGTGCCAAGGATAAAGCACTGCAGGCCCTGTGCTGGGCAGCCATGCATCGAGTGCTCATTGCCCTTGGTGTGTGTGTTATCTCCTGGGTGGCACAGATCTGGCAGGGCCTGTCAACCCCACTCAGGAGGCACCTGTGGCAGAGTGTGGCTTTGAGCAGGGAGCGCAAAAGAATCTGTCTAGTCTGGGTGATGGTGACAATGTTGGGCATCACCCTGCACAGCTTTCCTAGGAAAGGGTTGTTCATGGGTGTAAGCCACCCCAAGTTCATGTGCAACCCCGTTCTGACCCACTGCATTTGGGCCAGTTACACCAGAGGGGACAGGGGAGGAGACAAGTGATCAGCCTGGGGGAGGAAAGAGACACACAAGTGTTTTGGCACTGGCTTGCTCAGCTACATTTTATCACACGGAAAAACCAGACAACAAGAAGTTCCCCTCAGTTCGCTGAGGCAGCCTGGCAAGGGCTGGGGGGCTCCAGCCTGTGCTTGTGGGCCCCAGGCCTGGCCTGTACAACACTGGAGATCACTGAGATGGAGGCGTGCAGGGCTGGGTCTGAGGAAATAACACTGGATGCCATTCAGTGGAAATGGCACAGCCTGTGCCTGGGGTCCGGAGTCCTGTGGAATCGCAGCAGAGCAGGAGGGGCTGGAGCAATCCCAGGGCTTGGTGGTGAGTGATGGATGGCACAGCAGCACTGAGCCCCTCTCCCTGGAGCAGTGCAGTGAGGAGCTGGCATCCTGGCTATGGCCAGCTGGTGAAACATCCAATTGGCAAGGGAGCATTTCTGTGCTGTGAGTAACATGCCAGGTAGGCACATGGGGCTGCAGGCCTGCGGCTGGGCTGCCTGGGCCACAAAGCTGGATGCTGTGGGATGTGGTGATTTCTCAGGTAATTTTAAGGAATTCCTAGAGCTGGAGCTCCTCTGGGGTTTGCACTATGAATTTGTGGCTGTTGCAAGGTTTGAATCCTGAGCTGGAGGTTTGGTTGACTCAGAAAGATGACTGTGGGGTGCTGCTGGAGGGACCTGCCTTGGGGTGTCCCCATTAAATCGGTTCAATGCAGCAGACTGGAGGCTGCAAGTCTTCCAGCCCCTTCTGAGGCTGGGCAGTGACTGGGAACCATGGGCTGGTGTGAACTTCCCACAGGTGGCCGAGGCAGCACAGCCCTGCTGGCTGTTGTCACATGCTAATGTGGTGCCACCGATCTGGGCCTGAGTGAAGAATGCCTTCTTTCCCCTTCGCTGCTGTGGCTCCCACCACTTTGGTCCTGGGCTGGCTCTGGGCTGGGCTGGCCCAAGGCTGTGGTGTCAGTAGGGACAGCCCTGGAATCCACCTCAGCTGTGTTCAGCCTCAAACTGCACACACCATCTTGTCCAAAAAGCAGTTCTGTGCCTCCCTCCACAGCTTCCAAGCATCCTGCTTTCTCCCCACGTTCCTGCTGGCCTGGCTGTGCTCCTCCTGTCCATGCCCATGGCCCCTGTGTGGCTCTGCTGGCAGCTGCTCTCTGTCCCCTCTCTGAGCACAACCGTGGCACAGCCAGAGAATAAATCAGCACAGGCTACAATGCCTGGAAGACAATCCTTTGTCATGCTACAGAAAGGTGCCAAATAATTCATTCCCTAATGGATGCTGGCCACAACTTGGGCCCAGCTTGTTGCTGAGAGGCTCTCAGCCACATGAGGAACTGTTGAACAAGCAGTGGCTGCTGTGGGTCTGTCCCCCACGCTGCTCTCAGTGCTGTGCCCAGGGCTTCATGCATTGCTCAGTGCCACAGCTGGAAGGAGTGATGAGCTGGCTCTGCTGGCCACAAGACTTGCATATATACATGGAGGTGAGCCTGTACAGGGAGGCTGTGGGGTGGGTTACAAGCATGCAGGCAGCAGTTGCTGGGCCTCCCAGAGCATGTAGGACAGCAGCTCCCAGCTAAGGTCACTCACCTGCTGTGGGGCTGCTGGTGTTTCTGTGGTGTGTGAGATGCTGCTGGCACAGCCACCCCTGCTGTGGCCTCAGCAGCAGGGTGTAGCAAAGACCACAAGTGCACGATCAACCAGGAAAGGACATGATGCTGGGGTTCTGCAGTGGCCCTGCAGAAGGAGGGAGGCTGTGGTAGAGGGGGCTGAGCCATGGGACAGTGTCCAGATGTGCTTTGAAGTTGTCAGGCAGGCAAAGATGTGGGTTAGGGCTTGCAAGGCTGGGCTGCTGCTGGAGAAGAGCTGAGTGTGGAGCACTGCAGAGCATTTGACTGGAAGCAGATTGAAGGTCTGCCTGTGGGAATGAGTCCAGCAGCTTCACAGCAGGACTAGGGCAGTGGAGTTCCTGAGGCTCATCCCAGCCAGTTGTCAGTGAGCTCTGAGATAGTTGAGACTACTGCTTGACTGCAGTTCTGCCCTGTGAGATGCTGTGTTCAGAGCACTCCAGACTTGGAAGGTAGCAATGAGCTGTTAATGCTTAAACCGGGTGATATCAATTGCTCATGTTTGTGGCCACTGCCCTTCCCAAGCAGCCTGAGCCAGCCCAAGCCAGCACATGTGGCTCACTTGGCCAGCACCTGGTGGCCTTTGGGCAGTGTCCGTTGAGCTCGTGCTCTTTGGGGCTTTACAGAACACTTGGAAAAGGGTTATTTACAGTTTAAAGCGCTGCTCTCCAGGAAAGGACCAGTGCTTCCAGAGGGCCTAGGAATGACAGTCTGTTCGTTCATGGGTCTGTGTGCCTCATCCTGTGCACCAGGTCCCCCACTATGTCCCACAGCTGCCACCTCCTCCCAGCTGGCAGCCTCTGTCTTCTGTCTCTCTGAGGCACTCCAGATGCTTGGGGATGCCGGTGGTCACTGGCGGTTTCTGCTGCCCAGTTTTCTTCTCTGACTGTCATCTGACTTGTGCACCCGGAAACATTCCTTCAGGTTCTGGGCTCGGATTTTGGGGTTCAGGATCTCCTCCCCCATAGAACTGGGGAACCAGCCCCTCTCCTGGTCATGAAGACGTTCCCCAAATATCCAGCCTGAATATAGACAGACACAGGCGTAAGTGGGGAAGGACTGGGCCTTGCTCCTGCACTGGGACAGCTGTGCTGGAAAGAGCCATTGGAGCTGGCAGAGCTTTCTGGAAGCTACTCAGAGGCCTGTGCTGGAGCAGACCCAGGTTGTCCATCCAGCAAAGAGGCCATCTCACCTGAGCAGCATCATGTGAGGATAACTGGCTCAAAGGATGCCAGCAGAAAGCAGGCACTGCTGCCACCACGTGCCCTCAGCTGTCCCTGGAGCCACAGGAGTGGTCCCCAGCAGACATCCAATGTGCCTGAGACCAGCAGCTACAAGAGTACCCCAGAGAGCAGGATCACGTGGCTGTGAAGCAACATGAAGGTAACAATAGCTTATATCTGAAGTGGCTGTGCTAGCTCTACCATGGCCCATAGCTGGTGCTGGGAGGCCGTGCCAGTGTTGTCACAACTTAGGCAACCTGGATTGGCTATTAGGAGAAGGCAGTAACTTCCTTCTCTGGCTGTGATGCTGATGCTAGGGCCTCTCCCTGGCTGGAGGGAGAAACTCACAACTACCTGCCTGCAGCAAAGCCCATCCTTCTACAGTGACTCCCAGCCCATCCCCATCCCATCCCGTCCCCATACCATCATCTGTCTTGTCCAGGATGTTGAGAACATCAGCCAGTTCTAAGGAGAGCTCATCAGGCTGCTGGGCCACGTACGGGTGGACACACTGGATCTGTGGGCAGTCTGCCAAGAAACAGGGCAAGAGTGAGGGATGGACTGGGATGGAGCCCCTTGAAGAACAGCACAGATTGGGTGACTGTAGCCCCATGAGCTCTGCACGTGGTCCCTCTGATCTGGGGAATCCAGGAAGTGCCCCAGCCACAGGTACTGGGGAAGCAGCTCTTGGGAAGGGACTGGGTTCATGTCACCACCACCGTGCTAGCCATGGGCAGCCTGGAAGGGAGGGAAGTGCTGGTGAAGCCCAGCCCAGGTTGGAGGGGTTGAGGTCAGGGCCAGGCCCAGGACAAGCCATTGATAAAAGGAGGGGAGCCCAGGGAGCGGGTTCAGCTTTGGCATAGGTCCCAGGTATGTGGCTGCACTGAGATCAGGCAGAATAAGGTGTCCTGGGGAAGGGGTGAAGAGCTCCCAGCTCCCATGCTGTGTCTCTTACCAACAAGTCTGGATGTAAATGAAACAAATTTGGTTCTCCGGTTTGGGGCTAGTGAAATCATCCAGCGCTTCATTTCACTCCTGGATAGGGGAGACAAACCAAAGCTGTGAACATGCAAGAGTTGTAAGAGCTCTAGTTCTCCTGCCCAGCCAGTTCTGGACTTCATGTTCCTCCTCCCAGCCTTTTCCTGCCTGCCCCTCCAGGGTCCTGGGTGCGGTGGTGATGCTGAGCTCCACTGCTGCACACCCTGATGGGATGTCACACGTGACACACTGCTCTGGGCCCTGCTGCACAGCCCTGGCTGTCCCCCACAGGCAGCACGGTCCCTCTCTGGGGAGGGTCCCTCTGCTGGCATTGCTGTCAAGAGCCAGCAGCAAGGTGGGGGCCTGGCACTCTCTGAGAAATAGCAAGCAAAGGCAGCTCCTGGCTGGGCTGCTCAACAGGAGCAGTTTTTCTGGGAGTTAAGCAGTTACAGGAACCATTTATTCCCGCAACTGCTGTGTAGGAACATTTAAAGGGCAGAGCTGATTAATTCCCTTGCAGAAGAGCATTGCAGCACACCAAAGGTACCACTTGCTTGGCAACAAGACCCTGTTGGAGCCTGAAGTGAACAGCATGCTGCAAAATGTGGACCTGCAGTTGGGAGGGTGAAGATCTCACAAATGCTGGAGAAGACCCAGGCTTGGCTCCCCTCAGGCTTCCCTCAGCCTCATGAGGAAATGGGGCAGTTCACCTTCACATGCTCCAGCTTCTGCCTGGAGGACCAGCTGTGCTTCCCTCTGAGAGTTTTCTACCTTCTCAGGTGGTTTTAAAGCCTGAGCTTGACACACATGAAAAGCCATGGGAGTGCCTTCAGGAAGGAGAGGGGCCTAAAAGGGGGATGTAAAGGACAAGTGCTGGCAGGTTGATCTGTAGGGTTGGGAATACTTTATACTTCAGGTATGAAGAACAATGCCAAGGACCAGTGGAAACACCTGCAGGTCACATCACACGAAGATGTGGGACAAGGGCCTTGGTCCCAGAGGAGCTATAACATGGACAGGTCAAACCCAGAGTCCTGCCATGCTTGTGGCCCTGTCTGCATGCTGGGCCTGCACACACATCCTTACAGGGCTCCATGGATCTGCCCCAGTGCCCAGCTCCTCTCAGCCTGCAAGGAGCCCACCCACACTGCAGTTCTATCGGTACAATGGACTGTGTCCAAATCAAGTGTCAGCTCCTGGCAGAGCCCACCCAGGGCATGAGCTACAAGTTGCTACTGAGCAGCATTGTTGCAAGAGCTGCAAGAGCTGTAGAAGAGATGCAGAAGTCTCTGTTTGGCTCCCACTTATCTCTCTAAATGTTCAGTTTTCCAGTCTGTGCCCAGTACTACCTCCATCATTCCTGCATCTCTGAAACAGCAGCCTTCAGCAGTTGGTATGTCACATTTCAGTGCTCAAGACCTGTTGGCAAGCCATGTTCTGGATCACGTACCTGCTGTGGCCACCTAGAAGATGGGACAGGATGCAGAGCATGGACCTGAGACTGCCTCCCCTGAGCTGAGCAAATCCTGGCCTGGTTTATCATTTGCTGCACAGTCGAGCCTCACAGACGTCACACGTGTGCTTGCCCTGCATAGTGTGAGTGACATCTCTATTTTCAGTGCAGCAGAGCTGCAGCCATATGTCTGGGGAGAAGGTGCAGCTGCTCACTGTGCTGGGGGCTCGTTATCCTGGTGCTGATGCTGTGCTGGTGGTGAGGGGCAGTCAGGGTGCAACCCCGGTGTTCATTTAGGAATATGATGATGAACAGCAGCCTGCTGACAGCAGACAACATCAACCTGGGGATGTGCATTGTCTCTAGGAGCTGTTTAGCTGGTGGCTGGAAAATGTGGGCCTGGTAATGCTTGGGTCAGTGAGAAAGCCATGCCCTGTGCTCCAAAACAACTGGGTCAGTGCTAGTACAGCTGAATCATTTGCACAGCCTGAGCTTGTTGGAGCCTGAAGTGAAAAATCAGTGAGCCAGAAAATCTGTATCCAGGGAGACAAGGAGGCCCTGAGCTGCAGAAGGGCTGCACAAGACTGGCACTGGCTGTGGAGACACAGAGGAAGTAGCCTTTTCTCCCACCTTCACCCACAAACAGGAGACACTTTGCTCCACAGGGCGGGTCAGGCATGGCCATGATTCTTGTGAGTCAGTGGAGACTCTGGAGTGTGTGAGTGTATATCCTGCTTGGTTTTACTTTCTGAGCATGCTGCAGTCTATAAATCAGCTGGGGCCTGTGGCCTGGTGCCTGGGCTGATTTCTGATCTCTCTGTCCCAGAACAGGGACTGCCTGTCTGTCCACCACCCCAGAGGCCTCAAATACCCTGTACAGGAGAGAAACCTGCCTAGGTGATGAGTAGCCTTGGGGCTTTCAGTAGCATCAGGGGAGTTATGATGGGCAGAGAGGTTGGTAGGACCAGCTCAGCTGCAGCAGTGGGATCCCCCCATGCCCATCCCTGGAAAGCCTGGACAGCTGGTCCCCAAGAAGGCAGGATGTAAGAGAGAGCACTGCTGAGTGATAGCAGGGTGACTGGTACTCACTGGGATGATGCCTTCAGCATGTAGCTGGCCTCCCGGTCATCTGCGTTCTCTAGCAGCCTCAAGATGAAGACATTGGCCAAACTCTGCCCCTGATCTTCTAACTCCTCTACCCGAAGAAGCCCTCGGGGAGCAGAGTCAAACACTTGGTACTTGTCCCTGGGAGAGGTAAGAGAGATGAGGTAAAACTGTGGTTATTGCAGGAGACTTTGAGTTCAGCCACCCAGAATTGTACTGCGGACACAGACCAGAAGCTGCTGCATAGAAGGAGGAGAAAAGGTGTCCTGCTGTGGGATGGGATGAGTGTGTGGCTATAAAAACCCAGTGCAAAGCAAGGAGCCCTCTCTGTACTCTGCCCTGGGCAGCCCTCATGGCCTGGAACAAGTTGCTTGCT